TTACCGTCAGCCGTCCCCACGGTTTCTTCTTAGTGTTTGGTATTTCGGCGCCTTGCGGGTACACTTCCCATTTTTTTTATGTTTTGTGTGTTTTGTTTTGTTTTTTGTCTTACTTTTCATTGGCGATTTGATTTTCACAGATCTTGCGTCTTGTTTTCTCTTGCTCCGTTTTTTTTTTTGCGTTTGTTTTGTCTTCCTTGTTCTGCTCACTTCTGTTTGACAAACTGGGACCGAAAAGAAATGGAATGAAATGAAAAGAAAAGAAAAGAAAAGAAAAGAAAAGAAAAGAAACAAAAGACCTGCCAAAAGCGCAAACCCGGTCCTCGGTTCCCAGTGTTCTGTTTGATCGTTTCGTAGTCCACCGCCGTTGCTGGCGGAATAGGGCGAGTGTTCTCCCTTTCGAGTATGTTATGGTTGAGTTCCCCGTTCTGGATTGTGATTGATGTCGTTATTCTTTGTCTGCCTGCGTTTGCCCGTGGATCGCCGCGACCTGAACGTGTCCTTGTCTGTGCTACTTCCTTGTTGCTTGCATCTCGTCTATCGATTGCCGCGACCTGGATACGTTATTTATTTTTTATTTTTCTGTGCGTTCGTCAGTTTTCTTTTCGCTGCTTTCAACAATCGGCATCGTCGACGATTCGAAGTAGTCGAAGCATGGGTGGTGTTGTTTGCCTCTGAACACTTGGAAAAAGAGTTCCCCAAGTTTCGTCGGTGCTGTTTGCCTTTGAACACTTGGAAAACATCGGTACACCTTCGCACTGGACACCTACTTTCCGTCCCAAGGGGCAGTGGCCTATCATGAACCAAGACTTCAGCGCCACCCTGCCTGTCTATGATGGGCTAAATTCAGCCCGTCGAAAACGCGATCTCCAGGGCGTCTTGTGTGGCAATGTGCGGTAGGTGATCGCTAACCGCACTAGCTATATCTACTACTGAGAAATGTCGTGTTGCAGAAATCTCCCTTCTTCCCCTCGCTCCTCGACAAGCTTTTGCTTGGACATGGGTTGTAGTGAAGGGGGGGGTCTTTCTGGCGAGCAGGGCTAGA